CCTTAAACCGCGCCAGGTGCGGGGCCCGGCCCGGGCTGCGGCTGCGCGGACGCCCCTCCGCGGCTCCAGCCCGGCGGCCCCCGAGGACCAGCGGCTGTACCGGGGGCACCGGCGGCAGCGGGCACGGTCCGCGGAGGCTGCGCGCGCCGCCCGAAGGCACCCCCCCCCCCCCGCTCCCGCAGATGCCCCGACCCCAAGCGGCCGGACCGCGGGCGCGCGCGTTGTTCACCGGAAGCTCCGCCCCGCGCTGCCGGCACTTCCGGGCGTTCTAGGAAGCTCGGAGGACTCGCCCGGGGACCGGCGTGCGGCCGGCCGGTGTGCCTGGGACGGTCCGAGGGCCAGGGGTGCACGGGGCGAGGGCGCCGCGGGAAGTGGTCGGGGAGGCAGACGCCGGAAGGGACTGAGCGAGGGCCCTGGCGTGGAGGGGCCTGAAGGCCGTCGGAAGGGCTGTGTGAAGCGAGCGACGGAGGCCATCCGGCGTGGGACTCCAGAGGACCTCTCGGGTGTGGGGGCGGCGGGGGGACGCGGGGCGTGTCCTGCGTGGTCGGAGTGGCCTGCGGCGGGGTGGCGAGGGCAGCAGGGAGGGCCCGCGGAGGCCGGGGCCGCGCTGCAACCCGACTGACACCGGGGACAAGGCGGTCTTACCGCAGGCGCAGAAGAGAGGCGCAGCCAGGCTGGGCCGAGGGCGGGCTCCGGCCGAGCCAGAGCCGTCCCGCAGTTCCGGGGGCCTGGCCGCGGGGTCTCCCCGGGCAGCTGCCCGTGTCGGTGCTGATGAGGGCTGATGAGACCAGAGGTTCCCACGCCTGGGGCGCCGACACTGTCACTGGGGGTGATGGAATGGAACCCGGATTCCCTGCTTTACCCCCGCCCTACTCAATCGGTCTCTCCTGGGACCGGGCCTGGGAACCTGTGTTTTTCCGCAGGTTCCCCAGGTGATGTAACTGGTACCTTAGTGGGTTCGCACACCCATGAAAACGCAAAGAAGGGGTCTCATGAGAGGCCAGTGCCTCGTAAGAATTTGCTCAGCTTCACACGAAATCTCCAAAGCCAAGCAGCGGTGTATGGAGCCGCTCCAAGGAAGGAGGACAGCTTGAGCAGAAGGAGGGGTGAAAGATGGTTGGAAATGTATCCATCGTCTCAAAAGACTGCAAAGAAACCTCCCTCCCTCTCTTGGATTTATTGGTGGGACGGGTGCAGGAGACCGTTCTCAGCATCTTACAAACAGGGCTTACGGGACTGAGCATAGGGTTCGGCACACGGCGCTTTCCGGGCGTGAGGACGGAAAGGACTCCACTCGATCTGGAGTCACCACAGTGGGTTTTCCCAGCAGTCAGCACACATGCGGGCCGCGCGTGGAGATCTCTGTAACCTTGTCAATGCACTGTCTGCACATGATGCCTCAGAAGCTGCTCCAAAAAAACCCTGCAGACCCAGTTTCTGAGGAATGTGTCCCCTTTCTAGACCGTGACCCCAAGGGAACCCTCTGGCCTGCGGAGACGTCTCCCACCAGCTCACTATGGAGTGAACGCCTTGGCTGTGACTTTGGGTGAACACGAGAGAGGGAGAGTTTCACCCCGGGCTGCCCCCCAGGTGGGGGTGCTGTTGTTTCAGGGCAGCTGTGACGCTGCGCTGGCGCGAGTCCTGTGGGTGGTATTTCTCAGATGCTAAACGTGCTCAGCGACGGTTATATCCTGCATGGTGACCATGACAAGGCTCCTCTCCAGCCCAGATTATCTGATGCCTCTACCCGCCCTGCATGCTTAGTCCCCTCCTGACTCCGGTGTGCGCCCGGCAGGCTTTTCCACACTTGCTACGTTCACAGGGTCTCCTTGTGAACTCTGACCCTCACAACTTGACCCTCTGGCTCCGCCAGGTCTAGTCCAGTCATTGGCTTCTCTGCAGTGTGGACTCTACGATGCTGAAGCTGGCCTGAGCGTGCCGGAACCCCTCCCACATTCATGACGTTCCCGAGGCCTTGCACCCAAACTCCAACGGTTTGTTACATCCAAGGCTCTGTCCACCTTGGTTACACGCGTAGGGTTTCTCCCTCTCGCTTCATGACACCGGAGCCCGGGCCGTGCCTCCACCGTCACCACATCCCCTGGTCTGTCGAGCGCGCTGCGGTTTCCAGCTCTGAGCTTCGGGCTGTCTGCATCCACGGCCCGCGTCTTACGACCACCGGCAGGACTTGTGAAGCGCTGGCTGCGTGAGCGAGGATTTCCGGCAACACGTGGGCACTGGGTGAATTGTGGCCTTTAGAATCTGTCTTGTGAACAGAACAGTCAAACGCAAGAGGCCCCTGTGCCCTGTGGCATCAGACATTAGAGCTGGTCGCCCAGCTGCACCCGCGGTCCGCAAAGAGCCTCCCGCCCCGGCCCTGCACCCTCCTCCCCGACACCCCCACCCCCACCCCTCCCAGGGTCGCTGGGGGCGCCGGACGCGGCCGACGGCGCCGGGAGGAGGGAGGGACGCGCCCCTTCCGGTGCACTTCCGCTTGCTCTCCATCGCTCCCGCTTCGGTCGCGGCCGGGCCGGTTCTTCGCTTAGCGGAGGCGCTCCTCCCCGCAGCTGCTGGCGTGGCTTGCAGTTTTCCCAGCGCCGCAACTAGTATCATCGAGACCCCGAGACCCCGGCCAGAGAGCCCCCCTCCGCGGGGTCTGGGTCCAGCCGACCTTCCTCCGGCCCACAGACCCCGGCCGGAAGCACTCCTCTACGGGTGCCTCCGGGAAGAAGTTCGCCTGGTTTTCACTAACGTTGGGCTCCTGCCAGAGCGGCTTTAGCGGAGAGCCTTAGGCTTAAGAGATAAAGCCGGGGGTCCGACCACTGATACGCTTGGGTGACTCCTGGAGGCCCGCTGTGCTGCTGCACCCCGAGGACCGAGTGGGATGAAACTTGCTGTGTGGAGCCCAGTCTCCTAGGTGCGGACACGCCCAGTACAGTGCAGGGGCCCCAAAATGGTTTACTGATTGCATGAATCAGGAACAGAAACGATCATGGGAGAGAATAGAAGTATTTTCCCGATGGGGGGCCAGGAGGGTTAGGAACCCAAACTTGTTAACTTGTGGCTCTGGCCTGTGCTCTGCTGGTTCTTCACACAGTCTCATTTAGTGCTCCCAGAGACCTTGTGATGTGGAATCGCCCCTCATACACCACTGCAGCTGGAAGAGATATGGGCCTTGCCCAAGATGGCGTGGGGTGAGTGCCAGAGCTGGGCTGCAAAGTGGCTCGAGTGCTCTTAGAGGCCGGACACTGGGCGATCCCTCCCCACCGGCGGAGGGGAACGAGGCACACAGCAGGTGGCCCTGCCCCCCAGACCACTGGTGGTTTCCACCTCTGGGCTCCACCGTGAATCTAGGGTCTCAGAGACTGAACCCCGGGGGGATCTGAGGTAGCCCAATAGGGAAAGTGGCAGATCAACTGAAGAAGACGAGTGGATGACACTGGCATCGAAAACGTGCAGGGGACACTTCCGGTTCAGTCTGCCCATCCCCGCAGCTCCGCCCAGGCAGGTGGTGCCACTGAGGAGTGCGGCTGAGCAGCAGCCTCTACAGTCCATCTCCCTGGTCACAACCACTGGCCCAGAGATGGATGGCGAATGGCAGGGCCACCAGCAGAGCCCTTCCTCAGGACAGTCCCAAGGTGCCTGGGGCTGGGAATGGCCCTTGCCCCTCTGGCAGCTACAATAGAAGGAACTGGATCTGGGCTTTTAAGCTCTGCTCTGGGTCACGGTGAGAGAGGACACCTCGACGAGGAGGAATTAGGCCACCCCTATGGCATTAAGTACAATTCTTATCCTTGCTTGTGGTGGTGAATTCTGTGTGTCAACTTGACTAAGCTGTGGGATATTTAGAAACTTGGTCAAACATTATTCTGGGTATGTCGGTGAAGCTGTTTCTGGATGAGATTAGCATTTCAGTTAGTAGACAGTAAAACAGGCAGTCCTCAATGTGGGTGGGCCTCACCTAATCGGTTGAAGGACTGAATAGAACAAAAAGGTCCAGTTCGATTAATGCAGGCCCCGTCCCATCCAGTCCTGATAGACAGGTGTGTGGGGCACAGGCCTCTGTGGGTTAGTCTAGGGCCGTGTGGACGACCGCCAGGCCTTCCCCCTGGTGGCTGCCTGCCGGGTCGGGTCCTGGTGCTGGTATCTAAGTGCACCTTCCATGCAGAGGCAGCAGGATGACCCTTCCAGTGACTGCCCTGAGGCCAGTGCTCCCCGTGACGCCCTGGGGGGAGCGCGTGCAGGCTTGGCGGCTGGCTGCTGGAGGCCAGAGGCCCCACGACACCCTGGTGGTATTAGGGAGAGGAGAGAGTAGGAGAAGGTCGCAGTCCCTCCTCTTTCAGGCCACAGCGCCACCAGCAAAGGCGCCTCAGCAGATGTCCTGGGACTGACAGCTACTCTGCTCCCCTAGAGCTGCTCTCACCTTGAGTGGGGCCGCATGGCAAGGGAGTCCACAGTGCTTGGTGGCCACGGGTCCCTGGGAGTGTGGCCTGGAGAGGTGAGGCCGCCCCCCACCCCACCCCACCCCACCCCCACACACAGGGCCTTCAGCACAGGGTCCCAGCCGCAAGGCTTGGATCTGGGGAGGCGAGGCTCAGAGTTGCAGCCGTGGGAAGGGCCTCAGTGCGGGGAGGCGGTGCGGTCCCAATGCTCAGTAGAGAGCGGGGCGGGCGGGGGCAGAGCTCCGTCCCTACCGGAAGTCGGAGGGCTACGAGGCAGACCTGGGGAAGGCCAAGGCCTGGCTGCCTGTCTGGAGGGAACAGCCCGGGGCCCACGCCTCGGCTGAAGCTGCAGGTAATGACAGGAGGCACCCTGCCTCTGGCGACCACTGCCAAGGGCAGAGGCAGGTGAGCCCCCGTCTCGCCTGCCCCGCTGTGGCTCTCTGCCTCTGGAAACAGCTGGCTGTGTTTCCTGCTTGGTCATGTGGCCGCCAGGCCCCAGAAGACTAGACCCGGGGGGCGGGGACACTCCTCTCCAGCCTTAGGCAGGGGCGACTCCTGTTTCAATCAATCAACCAAAAAGGATTTATTTGGGGCACCTGGCCCGCGGTGCCGGCTGTGCCCAGCGGGACGGGGGGGGGGGGGGGGGGGGGCAAGAGGCGGGAGGCCTCTCTCCGACCCTCCCCCTCCGTGCGGGTCGCTGACCCGCTGGGCCCCCGCAGCACGCAGGCCGCCTCCCGCGCCGCTACTCCCGGTAGTGCACCCGCTGGTGCTGGATGAGCTGCGAGCTCTGGCCGAAGGCCTTGCCGCAGGCGCCGCAGGCGAACGGCTTCTCGCCCGTGTGCGTCCGCAGGTGCCGGAAGAAGTGCGAGCGGCCGCGGAAGGCCTTGCCGCAGTCGGGGCACTCGTACGGCTTCTCGCCGGTGTGGATGCGCTGGTGCTCGATGAGCACGGAGCTCCAGACGAAGGCCTTGCCGCACTGGCTGCAGGCGTACGGCTTCTCGCCCGTGTGCAGCCGCTGGTGGCGCACCAGGTTGGAGCTCTGGCTGAAGGCCTGGCCGCACTCGCCGCACTTGTAGGGCTTCTCGCCGTTGTGGATGCGCAGGTGCTGCGTGAAGTGCGAGCTGTGGCTGAAGGCGCGGCCGCACTGGCCGCACTCGTACGGCTTCTCGCCCGTGTGCAGGCGGTGGTGCTGGATGAAGCCGGACCAGCCGCGGAAGCGCTTGCCGCACTCGTGGCAGGCGTACGGCTTCTCGCCCGTGTGGATGCGCTGGTGCTTGAGCAGCAGCGACTTGTACTGGAAGCTCTTGCCGCAGGCCTCGCACCTGTGCGGCTTCCCGGGCCGCGCGGGGTCCCCCCGGGGCCCAGAGGCTCCCTGTGGCAGCGGCGGCCCGCGCCAGGCGCCCCTCTTCGGGGGGCAGGGCGCGGTCGCCGGCGGCTGGCCTGTGGGCCGCTCCGCGCTGGACTCCGGCCCAAAGCTGTCCCCACACTTGGGTCTACGGGGAAGGCTTCTCAGAAGGGTCCTCAGGGGCCCCCTGTCCCGGTCCACCTCCTCTTCAGGGTCGCGGGGGTGGGGGGATGAGGGAGCCGGCTCTGGCTCCAGATCTAGAAGGAGAAACGGAGGCGGATGGCAGCTACCCAGCCGTCAGCCCCACCCGCCAGGTGCCGTTGGAGAAGGGATGGGGCCGGCACGGGGCGCCACCGTGCTGGGGACCAGGGCGAAGGCAGACATGGGTGGGGAAGGCCCCACAGATTCAGAGCCAGAGTGAGGCAGCAAAGTCGCCTGCTCCTAAAGGTGTTGCCCAGGCTCCCAGCAGAAACGTGGGGCACAGGGGGCTGCCTCTTCACCCCCTCCTGAGGCTCCGCACGCCCGCGTCCCCCTCAGACCACTTCCGGGGGCAACGGTCTCCCCGCCTGGCTCCCCTGCTCCCCTCCGGACACTGGGGCAGGGACAGTCGGTTCCCCAGGGCCCCAGGCTGGGATGCCTCCGGGACCTCTGGGCGGGGCGGGGTTGGAGAGCTCAGAGTTGGGGGCAGAGACCGAAGAGGCATCGCAAAGGCTTCTCACGGGTGGGGGTGGGCATGGCCAAGGGCTGAAGGCCAGAAGGTCCCAGCAGACTGTGGGAAGCAGGGAATGGGGACAGAGGACACGCGAAGGCTGAGATTACACTTGGGTGGGGGGGAGTGCAGCTGACTACAGGCTCTGGGACTCAGGGAAGGGTCGGGACGCACTCTGCCTGGGGAAACGCCAGCGACACACTGGGACAGAATGGGGTAGGGGCCACTGGGGACAGAAGTGAACGCTGAGCCAGGGACTAGTGGGACCCAGGGTCCTGGCGGTGGTGGGCTTGGCACAGAGCCTGGCCTGGGGCAGCCGTGGGGAGACGCACCCCGGCAGGGCCCAGATGGGGTTCCGCACACTCACCCGGCCAGCAAGCCTCTCTGCCGATCCGGACCTCCTCCTCCTCCTCATCTCGGAGATCCAGCTCCTCCTCCTCCTCCTCCTCCCGCGGCGGCCGGGAGAGCACCTCAGGGCTGCAGCCCAGGGAGTCTGGGGGGACAGGTGGACGGGGGCTCATCTCCCCCTCCTCCCCATCCCAGCCCTCCATCAGCTGCCTGCAGCTGCCCCCTGCGCCTGGGTTGTGTCCTCGGACACACAACACACCTCCTTGCTTTCCCGGTGGCCCCACGGGGCTGGCCCTCCCCAAGAGCCATTTGGGGAGATGCTGCAGTCACGTGACACCCCTTTCCTGAGAGTGTGGGGGTCCCAAGGCACCGCTTGGCTGCGCTGGAGCAGGGGCAGGGGTGCGCCCTGACCAAAAGCCCCCTGGGCCCCCGATGCGCCCCTGCACCTTCTGTGTCGGGCAGTCCTGGGCCTTTCTGGGCGCGCCCCCCACCCTCTGTGAAGGGCCCGGGCTGGGCCGCGTCCCACCAGGTGGGTCTGCTGGTTCCTGCTCACTGGCCCCATCCTGAAGCACCCTCAGCGCTGTGTCCCCCAACACTGGCCACCTCCAGGGAGGCTGGGACACGGCACCTGCACCAGGGACAGGTTTGCTCCACCTCAGAGGCGGCACCCAGGCCTGGGGCTGGCCTTGGGGGGGAGGGGCTGTGTGTGGAGATCTGGGGCCACCGAGCGGCAGGAACTTTTCTAGCTGGGAGGGGCGCTCCTTGTTCATAAAATGGTGAAGTGCGTGCCTGGGTGTGGACGGGGTGGAGGGCAGCCAGGATTCAGGTCTCAGGTGCCAAAGCCAGGTGCCTCATCTGGAAGGCCAGCCCCTGGCCGGGGGGATGGGGGTGGCACTGCCCCGGCCACACAGCTCCTCCCCCGCCTCCGGGCAGCTTTTCTTGCCCACCCTTGGGCGGCATGTCTTTCTCTGTCACTTGCTCCTGCTCACAGACTGCCCCTCCGATGTGTCTGTCCCGTTCTGCACCCCTCCCGCTCAGCCCCCTGCTCTGCAGGCACAGGGAGGGGCGGCCTCGGCAGCTTCATGCCCACACCACCCCCAGGGGCCCACCGAGTGCCCTGTGCCCGCGCGGCTCCCCCAACCCCCTCACAGCCCGCCAGCACTGCGCTCAGTCATGGAGATTTAGGAGTTGGCTCTTGTGTCAGGAGGACGTGGGAGACTGCAGGCATCCAGCCCCGGGGGTGGTGTGAGGGACCCCAGGCTTCACAGGGAGGCTGGGGCTCCAGGAGTCCCGACCCCGCTGGCGGGAGGGCCCTGGGCAGGTTCCTGAAGTGTTGGGCTCTCAGGTGAAGCGTCTGGAGCACCGACAGAGGAAATGAGCTCCAGAGCCCACGAGGGGGAGCCCCTGTCCTGGGGAGCAGCGTGGTCACAGGGCCCAGTTCTCGGTGCTGGGTCAGTCTCCGCAAGGAGGGATGTAGGCACCCCCTCCCCGACCTCTCCACCGCCCTGAGCTCCATCACCCTCCAGCCACGCCTCCTCCGTCAGTGCCACACCCCTCCGAGCACCCCCCTCTCTTCTTTCTGGTCAACCGGGGGTTTTGTTCCCTACAGGCGCCTCCCCCCTCCCCCCCCCGTTTCTGGAGCACTCAGGGAGCACTGAGGCCGCTGGCTGCCACCCACACTCCCGCTCACTGGGCAAAGCCCCAGGCACACGAGGCACATGGATGTGATTCAGGGGGCCAAGCCCGGCCTTCCGGGCTCTTGCTGCCTGGAGACTGGACCAGGGGCAGCCCCACGCTGCGTGGGCTCGCCGACCTGCGTGCTGGGCTCCAGCCTCCTCGCTGCGCAGAACCCGTGTGGTCAGCGCGTCCTCCAGGCCAGCCCCGCCCCGGTCCTGCGTCCTGCCAGTCAGGAGCCATGAGCCTTGGGCCACAGCTTGCCAGGCCGGTCGGGGGAGGGGGCTGAGGGCTTGGGCTGGAGTCAGGCTGATGTGTTCGGAGTCCCACCGGCCTCCACTGGCTCGCGTCCGGGCCCCCCTGTCCCTGTCTGGAACACAGGGACAGGTCCTACCTTGCAGGCTGTTGTGAGGTGGCAGAAAAACATGGAGGTTAAGGGTGGGCCTCAGGGTGCTGACCGCACGGGGCAGGAGCACGGCCACGGGGGAGCCCTGGGCCATCGTGCAGGGGGGCGGGGGGAAGAGTGTGTGTGTGTGTGGCTCCTTTCGGGCAGTGCCTAGCTCCACACCTACCCCACACCCCTAGGCTGGTCCACCCCAGGGACGGTCTGGGGCCAGCTAGGCGTGGCTCCCGTTCCGATCTCTGACTGACCTGGGTGGGGGTGAATGCCACGTTGTCCAGCTGCGTGTGACCTGCCACCCCTGTGACCTCTGTGGACCTCACTGTGCTCATCTGTCAATGCCCACCTGAGAGGGCAGTCTCTGGGCTTGGAGATAATCCACACAGCCCTCGGCCCAGAGGCTGGCCCATCCCAGCTGTCACCCCATCGCTCGCTGTGATGCTGAGACCCTGCAGGGGGGTCCCCTCCGGGCACAGAGCAGGCCCCGCCCCCGGGCTCAGTGCCAGCTCTTCAGGACAGAGGGGGGATGAAACACACTCTGGCCCTTGACCTGGCCATCTTCGGCTTGTGTTCCTGAGCTGTAAGGCCAGGGCCCCAGGGACTTTTGCCCTCGAAGCAGGAGGGAGGCCGAGGGGCACCAGGTGCCGTGGGGCTGGGACATCCCCTCAGCACTGGCCACTTCTGTGACTTCCTGAGACGCCGCCAGGAGGGGAGTACCAGGCTGGCAGCTCTGCCCCTGCAGGTCTCTGAGGCCCCGCGCAGACCAGCCCGCCCAGAACTCAGATGCTATTTTCTCCGTGTGGGAGCAAAGGCTCGTAAAGGGAGATGAGAGGACACAGGGCCAACGTGCTCCCAGGGGACCATCCCCTGGGGAGCCATCGCTCACAAGGCTCGGTCTGCAGCCTCAACCTCGGCTGCCCGGGTCCGACCCAAGTGCAAGGGGGCAGGAGCCCCAGCGGCCGTGAGCTGCCCTGTTTCCGGCCACACTGCCACTGGCGCGGGGCGGGTGGGTAGCGCAGGGAGGTGGAGGGAGCGCAGCGCAGGGTGAGTACCGTGTTGATGACCGTGGAGGTGAAGCCGGGCCTCGCGGCGGTGGGCTCCAGGTGTCCCTGGTGATGCAAGATTGACAGGGGGCGGGACACGAGGGGGCTCCTGACCGTCCCCCAGGGTCGCCATCTTCCCCAAGGCCTGCTGAAGGTATGCACACCTGGGACCTGGGGAAATGAAAACCATGGCACGATGAGGGGGGGGAGGGGCGTGCGGAGGGTGCGAGCAGTGCCAGCCGCCGAGCAGCCACCCGGAACGGCGGCTCCTTCGCTGGGGGGGGAGGCGCCGCGTGGGGCCTGGGGGAGGCGGCTGGACTCCGCCGCGGGGCGGCACCGCACACGTTCGGGGACGGGCGGGGAGCGACGCCCTCATGCCAGCGCTGGCCGAGAACGTCCTCAGAACCCACACCCTCAGGCGGCGGCGTCTCCCCGAAAAACCTCCCACACCACAGCTGCGGGCCCTGGAGGAGGGTGACAAACTGAGCTCCGCTTGCTGGAGCACGAACGTTCTAGATCACATCTTAACCAGACAATTCCGGAGAGGAAAAGCGTCCTCGGACCCTGCAGAGCCCTCAGAGGACAGGCTGCAAACCGCGTCCGGGCGCCCGCAGCGCCCCGAGCCTCCTTCGCGGTGGAAAGGAGCCTCTTTTGGGGTGGAAAGTACTCTGCGTTAACGTGCTTTGCAAGAACGGCGTGGCCCCACGGGAGGAGTTTTCGTTCGCGCTGTGGAGCAGGACTGCCCACGGGGGGTGACGCCGGCGCGGGAGGAACGGAAGTTCAAGTGCACTAAGCAGTGACTGCAAACTGCATCCGCTTCGAGGAGGGGAGGAGGCAGCCCCAACAGGGCTGCTCGCCGCGCTTGGGCCACCCGGTCACCCCCGCCTCCCGGGCGGCCCTGGTTCCCTGGTCATGGGAAGGGTCGCGGACACTCAGGCAAGTGGACACAAGTGGGCACGGGGTGCGGCAGCAGGCATGACGTCTGGGTGCAGGTCCTCACGCTCCTAAGTCTCTTCTCAAGTTACTCGGCTAACCTGCCGGGACTCGTCTGGGCCAGAGCACGCCCCCCCCCCTCGCCGCCGGCCGGCGGCGCGGAGGTGGCGCTCACACGGGGACGCCCGCCGGGACGCACGCACAAGCTCTGGGCGCAGGTCCCAGGCCCGCATTGCTGCAACCGGCCGGAGGCGGAGGGGAAAGGCCTTCCCCGCCCGCTCTCCTCCCGGCCTGGGGCCCGCGCCCCGCGGGGACCGGCGCGCTCTCGGGGCGCCAGGCGGCTGAGGTCCGGCGCTCATACTCCCGACTGCGGCCTTCTCGGAGCCTCCGTTTCCCACCTGCAAAGTGGGCACCGCGACGGCCCCGTCGCCGGGGTTCCGGGGGCGTGGGGAGGCGCCCCGCAAACGGACCCTCGCGATCGCCAGGGGCCAGTGAGCCCGCTGAGGCCCGCTACCCCGCGGAGGCCTCCGCTCCGCTCAGGGGCGCCGGGGCCCGGGCCTGGGTCACGGCGGCGCGGGGTGGCCCGGGGCGGGGCCCGCGAGGACGACGCGCGAGCGCGGGCGGGCGGCCGGGCCGAGCATCCCCGCCGCCGCCGCCGCCGCCGCCCCGCGCCCACTCACCTTCCGAGCGGGAGGCGGCCGCCCGCGCGACGGCCGGAAGTGCGCCTGCGCCCGCCCCGCCCTCCCGCGTGCACTTCCGGGACGCTCTGGGCGCCGGAGGACCGTCGCCTCCGTGGCGCGGGGGGCGGGCTGGGCGGCTGCACCCCGGCCCGCAGCGTTCTTGCGGTCCCGGAGTTCTCCCGGCGGCAACAGGCCGTGGAGGCCGCTGAAAAGTTGCACCCAAAGCATCCCCGGAGCCATGTCTCCAACCTCGCGGTGTTTCTCCCGGACGGCCACCAGCTGCCGGGGAGCTTGCTGAAGAGAGTCCCCTTTTCTCCCTGTTTTGGGCGTCTAAACTGTCCCACCACCAAAATGTTCCCAAACCCTAGGGCCTGAGCAGTGGCTGTTAGAAAATTTCCCAAAACCTTTCCGTGGAATTCTTCCTGCTGTTTCTCCGGAGTCTTTTCCAGCCCCGTTCTTACGACCCCAAAGGAAATTAAGCGACACCCTCCTTGTTAGGGACAGCAGACGGCTGCAAGGGCTTCCGTGAGCTCCCCCGGCAGGGGTGGACGTCCAGGCGTCCGCTTGCCCCGCCGGCCCCGAGCTCCGGCGGGAAGACAGCAAGGGAGGACCCAGGAGCCCAAGCTGCGGGGACGCTCAGGGCGCAGCGGGGGGGCCCAAGGCCGAGCATCTCGCCATCTGGACCCAGGGCGGGTGCCAGGCAGGCAGAGAAGCTGGATGATCAGGGGCACGTGAAGGGCTCACTCGCTGTATGGGGACAGGCTGTCCTCGGTGGGTGGGGAGACAGGCAGCCGACTCCTGCCAGAGTAAAAAGTGCAGACAGTGAGGCCGCCCTCTGCACTAGCGTCACCCCCAGAACCCGACGGGGTTCCAGGGCCGCTAGGTTCTGCAAAGATCCCCTGAGACTGCCCTCCCCCTGACCTAATGCCAGGCCCTGAGGTATACTGGGGGACTGGACGGCTCCTGGCCTCAATGGGGTTCACATTCTAGTGTGCAGGAGAGAAAAACAACAAATTGGCAAACACACCCACCCCACATGTGTGAGAGCTTTCAGGAAGCACACAGGGCTTTGTGGTCCAAGGAGAGCTCACCAAGGAAGTGACATCATAGGGGAGGGAGGGAGGAGGGCAAGCTGGTCGCACAAATGCTGGAGGGAAGGGTATTCAAAGCAGGAAGAAGAGCACGTGCAAAGGTCCTGAGGCATGAGTGTTGCCAATGGTTTGGAAGAGACCAGGCAGGCTGGGAGTGTGGTGAGCCACAGGAGAATGGATCAAGGTGGATAAGCAGTCTAGAAGCCATGATTAGGAGCTTGGATTTTAAGCACACCAGGAGGTACTGAAGGTCCCAGCAAGGGTGTGATAACCGATGTGCATTTTAAGATTGGTTTGGGGCAACAGGGAGGCAGGAGGAGACAGGTGGTTTAGATGGAGGGTAGGCTGGGTAGGGCCGGTGTTGGGGACCACATTTTGACAGCACCTGCTGTTGGCTGGGATGTGGGGCATGGCGACTCGGGGTTCGGTCTGGAGTCAGGCTGCAGGCCTGCTGAGACGGGGCACTGGCCACAAGCCAAGTTCCGCTCTGGTCGAGTGGCCCACGACGCAGCGGCGGCTGGGGGCTCGCCTCTCCCTGCTCCCCTTGTCAGTCTGTCCCTCCTCCTCTCCTGGCCGGCCCGGTGTGGCCCTGCTGGTTTAGCTTCAGTGTGAGGCGGGGCAGCCCCCCGCTTCCTAGGAGGGTGGGGAGTTGCGGGCCAATCACGTTTCCCCCCCGCCTCCGCCCCACTTTCGGGGGACTCAGCTGCTCCCGAGGTTCCGCCAGACTCCTTGGCCCGGACAGGTATCTTGTTAAGGGTTCAAGTTCCTGCTCAAAGCTGCCTCGCCTCCAGTTCCCCAGCCCGTAACCCTTGTCAATGGCCCTCACTCTGTCTGTACCCCAGCCCAGCGCCTGACTTCGGGTCTCACTCGGAGTCCCGTCCTTGGCCGGGGCCTTTGCCGTCGGGCATCCTCCGCTCTGCAGCTTCCCTGCCCGCACCCACCACGTGCCAGCCGCGCCTCCCGTCGGGACAACCCAAGGTGTCTCCCGACATTACCATGTCCGGTCCGGGCAGGATGGCTGGGGATGGCTGTTCCCGGGCTGGCAAAGTGAACAAGGGCGTGGGACAGCAGGACAGCCTGAGCTCTTCGGGACTCCGGGCCTGAAGGGGTGACCCCAGGGGGTGAGGACCAGGCAGGGAGCCTCCCAGACCCCCTCCAGGGCTATGACTGCAGGCATCAGGCAAGCAAGGAACCAGGAGTTCCCCAGAATCTGGGGCCGAGAAGGTCGTGTCTATTGAGGGCCACAGAACTCTGTCACACTAGGGGCCACTCATGCTACGTCCGCAAATCCTCCTCTGATTTACGCGTCTGTCTCTTACAAGTCTGGTGACGTGAGGCGGCGCCCAGTGGACGCGCCTGGAGGCCATGAGCGGCTGGATCCTGGCCCTGCAGGCCTGAGGCGGACTCTGGGCCAGGAGACGGCGGCAGTGCCTCCCTGGGGAGTCTCAACTGCACCCCCAAACTGCAGGGAGATGGGCGGGACCCAGTGACCGGGGCAGAACTGAGGTTTATTACAGGAGGAAACAGAGCATCCACAGGAAGCGGGACACGGAAGGGTCTGGGCTGGATGCTGGGAGGCGGCCAGCAAGGAACACAGAACCGGGCAACATCCGTCAGGACTAAGAAAGCAGCACGTGCAGTGTAGACCGCAGGAGAACCGGATAAAACAAGACAGAACCGGTCTCCAGATGTCCAACACACTCACTGAGGGCTAAAGGAAGGGAAGCTGTTATAAAGTTGAGGGTCACCAGATGTGACTAGTTGGAAAGCTACATTTCACGGGCCCACGAGCACCAGCCGTGGGGGCCTGTGTGTGGACAGTCCGGCGGCCACCTCGCCCGGCCACGCACCTCGGTAGCGGTGTGAGGAGAACGCCGCCAACCCAGCGCTTAAGCTCACCAGCAAACAAACACGTGTTCACACCAGAGTGCCACATGGGTAAGGTTGTGGTCACCTGGGGCACACAGGCTGGATCCACATGTGCACTGGGGCTGAAGCCCCCTGGGGGCTCCCCCCGCAGGCCTCGGACACCCGCGCCCGCAGTCGTCCCCGGAAGCAGCACCAGCCTGTCCTCACGGTCTGGATCCCCGCAGGACTCTGGTCCCGGGGCAGGGGTGGGGGGGGGATGGACCACCAGCTCGTGGTCTGTGGAACAGGCAGCTGGAGTCTGCGAGGATGACCCTGGGAGACCACGGACTCTAAGCTCCCTGCACAGAGGTCCCCAAAGGCACGGGCTGCCCCAGAGCCTGGCCATCAGCGTCGTGGCCTTTCCCTTTCTGGTCCCAGCACTGCTACCTTCCTATGCCCTGGACACCCCCCCGCCCCACCCCCCGCCAGCCCCGCTCCAGAGCCAATGTCCCAAGTGTCCCCAATGCCACAGGCTTCTGCCACGAGCGCGGGGCCGCCTCCGGGCCTGTCTCACTCCGCAGCGTGACCGGGGCCAGGCTCGCTCGCAGGGCCAGGAATAACCGCTTCGTGGTGTCTGCACTGGGGATGGGCGGGAGGCCGCTGCAAATCCGGCCCTGGTGCCTCGTGCTGCCTGCAGCCTCCCTGGGATGCAGGGGGCCCGGCACAGAGAGCGGAGGCCGAAGCGGCGGGCCGGCCCCCGGCTGTGGGGGGAGAAGCGGCAGAGCCCCCCCCCCCCAGCTGCGCGGCCCTCGCTGCCGGCTCTCCCACAGCGCGGGCTCCCGCCTTCCCTCCCCGGAGGCTGGAGGCCGGAGGAGGCTCCGGGCGGCCGGGCCGGGGAGGGGGGGCGCTGACTGCTCTCCCTGCACCGGGAGCCTCGCTCAGCGGGGGCCCTGAACCTCGTCCCGGGAAAAGGCGTTTCTCTGGGGCTTTCTGGGCGCGGAGCCTGGGGAAGTCCGGGGCTTTGCCGGCAGCGCATTCCTGGAAGGTGGTTGTGTCGCGGTCGGCCTGGGGGGGGCGGGGGGGGGAGGTGTGAACTTTGGGGCCTTCCCGGTCCGAACCAGGGGAAGGCCCCCCGCAGGGAGTTCGCCCACGAGCCTTCTCTGCCCTCACCCCCTGGCGGGCGAAGCCGCCCAAGTGCCGTCCTGCCTCTGCCCCGCGTGCCCACCCGTCCCTTGGAGGCTCCCCTTCTGCTCACCCGGGGCTCCGTCCCTAGTCGGAGCGTGGGATCCCCAGGTTCGGGTCAGCTTCCTGAGGGGGGACCTGCCCCCACGGCCGGAGACGGACGCGGAATACCTTCCGGACGAAGAAATGCAATGATTACCCACTTCGCGGGAGGACACTACGACCTCACAAGTTAGGAGCTGGCTTCCGGCACGTGGGAGTGCTCGCCCGAGCTGGGGGGGGGGGCAGGGGGGGAGCGCAGGGGGGCGGAGATGGCGCTTCCCCGAGCCCCCACCCCCAGCCCCCAGCCCCCTCCCCCGAGCCCCCTCCCCTGAGGGCTCCCGCGATCTTCCGAATGATCCTGATCGATCCCGGACGGGGCGGGGGACGGGGCGGGGGACAGAGCGGCGGGGGGGCGGGGAGGGGGGAGGGGAGGGGAGGCGGGGGAGGGCGACAGAGGGGCGGGGGGGCTGGGAGGGGGACGGAGGCCGGGGGGGACAGAGAGGGCAGGGAGGGGGAAGGGAGGACGGAGGGGCGGGGGGGGCGGGGCTGCTGCTCGCCAGACCCGGATGGCGACAGGAGCGTGGCAAGTGCTTCCTGTTTCCCAAAGACTTAGAAAGTTAGAAACGAGTACATTAGAAAATGAAGTACAGTGAAAGCCTGGATTGCGAGGAACTTGTCCCGCGAGTGTCCGCACGATGAGCCAACGTTTCTAATAAATTTTAACTTGATACATGAGCGAGGTCCCGCGATATGAATCGTACGCTATGCCGAACATCAATAATCACAACTAGGCCAATGGTTCTCTCTCCCTGTCTCGCTCTCCTTCGCTTGCTGGGGGACTTCTTTAACGCAACGTCACATTTCCGCAAAGTCCGCAAAAGGAGGCGAATTCAGTGTCACTGGATAGATTCCTTGTTCAAGTTGCACAAAAAGGGGCACCTGGTGGCTCCGGTCACGATTTCGTGGTTCATGGGTTCCAGGCCCGCGTCGGGCTCTGTGCTGACAGCTCGGAGCCTGGAGCTGCTTCACATTCTGCATCTCCCTCTCTCTCTCTGCCCCTCCCCTGCTTGTGCTGTCTCAAAAATAAACATTAAAAAAAAAAAAAGGTTGCACAAAGAGATTCCTTTGAGCCAGTAGAGGGCAGTGATTCCGTGAGTGATGGTGAAGGTCGTCCTACACGGCAACCCTCCCCACACGGGCTTTCAAAGGGAAGTGCAGGTTAATTTACTTTTCTATTTTCTTTACTATTTTGTGTTATATTACAGTATTGTAATCACTTTTACATGAATATTTTTGGGTTGTGGAAGGAATCATGGGTTCCTATTATTTTTTATGGGGACATTCGCCTCGGATTACAAGCAGGTTTCTGGAGCAAATGATGCTTGCAAACCAAGGCGTGACTGTATATTAAGCACCCGTGAGGGGCGCCTGGGTGGCTTAGTCGGTTAGGCGTCCGACTTTCGCTCAGGTCATGATCTCGCGGTTCGTGGGTTCGAGCCCCGCGTCGGGCTCTGTGCTGACTGCCGGCTCGGAGCCTGGAGCCTGTTTCGGTCTGTGACTCCCTCTCTCTCTGACCCTCCCCTGCTCGCGCTGTCTCTCTCTCTCTCCTAGAAATAAATAAAAATATTAAAAAAAAAAAAGAATGCTTAAAAAAAAAAAAAAAAGCACCCGTGAACTCACAGGGTCTGTGATGTGACGCGGGAAGGGCTCAGGCACCCTCGCCCC